GGACCTCCAGAACGAATTAAGTACTTAACCCGAGGTACCACTGTATAAGACAGACTTCGCCAATTTTGGACTACAACTCCATGTGCTGGCTGGGGCTGATGGGAGTTGTAGTCCAAAGCATCTGGAAGGGACCAGGTTGGCTGATATAGGATGAGCCCAGCTAGCATCTTGACTGAACCTATACACGAATGCTAAGTTGCTCAATCATCAATGCCAAAAACCTCACAGGTTTTCTGCGAAAGTGTGCCAGCTTCCTGCCTCTACAATATCCATCAGAAACATCTTCTATAAATCAGCATTGCAGCCTGATCTGAATTGCGTTAAGTTCACAGGACTCCTTTCTTCGAAAGCAGGCTAAATCCAGAGGCTAGATGAGAACGATGCTAGATTCAGACACCAGAGGGAGCAACTGGAACGAGGAGAGGGACTGTTCTGTTGTGAAGGTCTTGAAAAGAGGTTCTACCTCAAACTGACCTTTTGAAAAAAGAGGGCTGCAGTCGCGCCTCAATTTGAAAACAACAACAATAAAAAAAGAATCTAACCACCGATTTCCTCGTTCTAAAGTTTCACTGCTAGCTTGCCAGACACTACCCAAACACTGTCAGCCAGGGCTGGGATCAGGGGAAAGCCAAAAAGAAAACTGATCTCTTTTATTACTACCAGAAACTGAGTCTGAAGGGCACTTCTAGCCTGTTGCTATTCTCGGTTGGGGTTCAAGTGCAAACAGGCAAGTCCAGGTTGCGCAACTGAAGCCAACCGGGAGTTCTTGAGCAACAAATCCGCTTCCCAAAAATAAGGGGCTTTTTGCAATAAGGAAAGTGATGGGAAAGTGTGGAGGTAATGCTTGCTTTGAAACAACATTGTCTAGCCTCCCTGCAAGCAAGTCAGAATGACATGAGGTCATGAGGAGGCACCCAAAGTGTTATCTAAGGTGAGTGGGTAGAAGGGGCATTAGCCCGGCTGCTCTTAACAGGGCAATAAGCTGTTGCCACCTCAGTGAAGTGAGGAAATCAACATTCCTGTGGGAATGTTGTGGCAATGGGAATGTGTGCGCGTGAGCATGTTTGTGACACACCCCAGGAACAAGTTGAATATTTTGTTCAGTAAACTGGGGGCAACGAAGAAGATAGAGAGGGTAGTAGCATCATCACTATCCCATCTGGCTGTTAACCAGAAGGTTGGTGGTTTGAGCCCACCCAGGGACGGCTGTGGGCAGGATTCCTGCATTTCAGGGGGTTAGCCAAATGACCCTATTGGTCCCATCCAACTCTACAATTCTATGAAACACTTTTGTAAGACTCCTAAGAGGAGACTGCCATTATCATGTTTCAACTTCACAGGAGATCTCAGGTGGCCCAAAGAGGGAATTTCAGCAGGTGCACATCTTCGAATCCTTACAGTATTGTGGCATGACAAGCCAAGGCAGCAGAAATACTTACTTAAAAATAACAACGCAGCAGCTATCCAGCTGCTCTCTCCCTGTGCCTCATGACCCACAGCCTATGTACGAGTGTCTGCAGGAATTTTTTGAGGTTGTGGGGAGTAAAACACTGGAACCCAGGGAGCAGGCTAGTCTCTCTTACACACGGTGTCTGTATATTTTGCCTTGCATCTCAGGTTCTATAAATGCCAGAAGCTTACTCTTTTTTTAAAAAAAAGCGAGCAAGCAGTGAGCCTGGGGATAGAAATGAAAGCAGTGAGCCTGGTTCATGGAATGGGGATTGCTGCCCCTCTTGCCCCACTAGCACCCCATGGCCTTATGGCTCCCCCCCCCCCATGTGACGGGAAAATAAGTGGAATTGTCTCCCAAAGTGCATTCATACTTTCAGCATACAAGAAAACCAGTTGTCCAAAATTTTAGATCTTTAATAATTGGAAAGGCTGTTCTCTCCTTGATGACACTCTGACACAAGTTGCACCAAAGAAAAGCTCCTCTTTCCAACTGTTAGGTGACAACTGCAACTGGGTTTGGCTGCCCTACTAACACACAAGTCCAAAACATTCATTTCCGTTAAGTAATCAATAATTGAAAACCTTCCCGCTCCACACTCAATTCTTCATACCAAACAGAAACGTATACACAAACACATGTGCCAATATTTCAATCCCTGCTGTTAATGTGTCTCTAACGCTCTCAATGTTTAGTCTGTAAGCTGCTTGGGGCAAAGACCCGTCCCCTTTACAATATCTACCTTCTGCAAAATACAGAAGGTTAAATAAATAAGAGCTTCCATGAAGAGCCCATGGACATTGAGAAGATAATCGAATGTATATAAAATAAACCAAATTAAAGAAAATACTGATGCTGTAACTGAGTAGAGACTCGGCTACCCGGGAGTAAGTCCCACTCAACTCTATGGGGCATACTCCTGAGTAAGCAAGCATAAGTTTGTACTACGAATCATACTCAGGGCAGACCCATTCGCTTTCAAGGAGATGACTTGCTGTACAAATCTATGCTGTACACTAAGAAGTTCCACTGTCCTCAATAAGACTTACTGCCAAGTGTGTATAAGATTGCAGACTTAAGTCAGATACAAGCCTAAGAAGTTACTCAGATTTCAAAGACAAGTTAATAGAAAGCTGGTCTTTATTTTTATTCATTTATATAAGAAGACTGCATCCAATCTTAGCCATGCTTGGATCAAGCACATTGATCTCAATGGACATGCCTAACGTGCATCCATTCATTTCACTGTGTCTACTCTGAGCAGAACTAACAGACAGAGCTAGTTGGGTTTCAAGGCAGAATTTGAACCTGGCTCTTTATCTCACCCACCAACCACTGCCCTCCACACTGGAGCCACAAGAAGGGTCCTTGCCCCCAACTGAAGAAGAGAGCTAGATGAAGAAAGAGAAGTCCACCTGTCCACCCGCCACGCCACAAACAACAGACGCTGCCCAGCTCCCGCCTACCTTCAGAGAAGACCCACTGAAATCAAAGGACACGACTAGCTCAGTCGGTCCAGCATGAGGCTCTTAATCTCAGGGTCGCGGGTTCGAGCCTCGCATTGGGCGAGGGGGTTGGACTAGATGACCCTGGTGGTCCCTTCCAGCTCCACAATTCTATCACTAACTCAGGTCCATTGGGTTGTATCCGGCGCGGACCTTTCTCAGGGTAGACCCATTGAAATCAAGGGGAGAGGGCGGGCTGAGACCTCGCTGGTTCCAATGGGTCTACTCTGAGGAGAACTTGGTTAGGCACAGCCCACGGGCAGCTCTGAAACCGAAGGAGGGAGACCCGTTTGAGAGGGGCAGCCTCCCCGCCCCAAGACCACCGCCGGAGTCCCTCCCTGCCTTTCCTGACAGGATAATAAAAGCGCAGGAACGGGGGCGGGGGGGGAGAGACTCCGCGCTCGCCTCGCCTGCCCCGTGTCCCTCCGGGGGACCCGTAGGCAGCGGAGGCCGCCCCCCCTCATGCCCCCGCCGCTTACTTCGCTCGCTCTCTTCCCACAGGCGCGCGGCAGCCCCGGCTCCGTCCGGCTTCTTCCTCTCCTCCTCCGTCTCCGCCTCCTCCTCCTCCTGCCGCTCTTGATGTTACCTCCGGGCTTCGGGCCAACCCGGAAGTCGGGGGAGGGCTCTCCGCTCGGCCCCGCCCACCGACCGGAAAGCCGGTCTCTCCCCGTCGCTTCCGGACGCGGTGACGTCATTTCCTGCGCGGCGCCGGTTGGCGGCGTCGGCGTCTCCTCACGTGCCTTCCTTTTTCGGATCTCGTCTTTCTCTTCTCAGCTTCATTACAGGGAAAGGAAAGGTTAATTAAGGTTAATTAAAACGGCGGGAGGGGGCTGAGAGAAAAATTACCACGATTTCAGTTGGCAAGCGCGCTTTCCGATTGGTCGGTGTGCGTGTGGCGTCACGCAAAGGGGCGAGGCGATTGGCCGGTCGTCATATGACGTTGCCCACAGGCAGTTGGGAAGAGGGGGCGGGGCAGCCTTCGAGAAAGGCACGCGCGGTGTTGCGATTGGCTGGCCGTGTTTGTGACGTCGACTGCCGGCTCGCATCGTGGCTCCTGCTCTGAGGCTGGTCGGCGGCGCGAGGAGGCGGCGAGTGGCTGGTGAGGAGAAGCGGCGGGAAGGGGGAGAGAAAGGGTGGGGAGGGTCCCAAGGAGCGCGCCTGTGACTCAGGTGAAGAGATGCAGATTTATGCAAATATAGTGGGGAAGCCAAAGAAGTCAGTTGGGACTCTTAGGCCTCTCCGCCTTAAAAAAGAAAAAAAGAAAACTCACTTGCATGTGTAAATTTACTGTGAAGCTGGCCGCCAAAGATAATAATAATAATAATAATAATAATAATAATAATAATAATAATTTTTATTTATACCCCGCCCTCCCCAGCCAAGGCCGGGCTCAGAGCGGCTTACAAGCAATAATAAAAACAAGAAGAATGATTACAACTTAAAAACAAAAATAAAATACAACATTAAAATAATGGAACATTAAAATAATAAAATGTAGCCTCATTGCAGGAGGAGAAGGAAAAGAAAAAAGAAAGAGAGGGAGGGAATCAAATTGGCTCCAAGCCAAAGGCCAGGCGGAACAACTCTGTCTTACAGGCCCTGCGGAAAGAAATCAGATCCTGCAGGGCTCTGGTCTCATGAGGCAGAGTGTTCCACCGGGCCGGAGCCAGTGTTGAAAAGGCCCTGGCTCTGGTTGAAGCTAATCTAACTTCCTTAGGGCCCGGGACCACTAGGGTGTTGTTATTTATGGACCTTGAGGCTCTCTGTGGGGCATACCAGGAGAGGCGGTCCTTAAATGGAGTCCTTAAATGAAAACTCTGGCCGATGGTATATTTATTAGTATTATTTTTACTATTTTTAATTAATTTTCTGTATCGCCCTTCACCCAAAGACAAAAGGGCGGTTTACAACTGAAATATACTCGGAGTCGAGAGTGGATTTCATGCTCTTTATTCAGCTCATAGTGGGGAGGAGGAATGGAAGTTCCCCCAGAATGTCTGCTTTATATACATTATTTACACAATGGGCCCCACGTGATTGGCTAATTCCGGGATTCTCCTATAGGCCAATCAGGTTGCGGATTCATAAAAACAAATGAAAACGCAGACCCATTGAAAAGGAATGGAAATTACTAACTTGGATCCATTCATTTCAGTAGGTTCAGCTTCCTAGTTGGGTACAACCAATTTGATTTCTTCCACCCCTTTGTCCCCTATAAGGCGCTAGGGTAGCTCACAACAACACAGAATTAAGTATCATTTGGCACAATTTCAATACTGTATGTAAGATTTACCCTATGAGTTAAGGACCCTTGGCCTACAAACCCATCGCCTCCCCCCCACCTGAAAATATCCTGTGCTCCAGATGCTTTGGACTACAACTCCCAGCACCCCACCTGACCCATGGCAAGGAATGGTGGGAGTGGGAGCCTACATCATCTAAAAGGTATCAGGTAGGTGGAGGCTGGTTTACACCAACACACAATAAGCTTTCAGTTTTTCCCAGATGCAGCTGGCAGTTGCTCAGCTTTCAACTTGGTACCTTCTACATGGCCTTGTTGTTGTGAAGGCTGCAATTTCTATTTCCCTGAGCACTCCTTAGGTCCTCCTAACATTCCTCTTGTCTTTGATCGCTAGATGTACTATGGATTACCTTTCCAAGCCTGGTCTCTTCAGTATAATTGCTGGTGTTGCCTGTGGGGTATGCCTGGGCTGGAGCATTCGAGCCCGGTTCTTGCGACCATCCAAAGCCAGAATGACCCAGATTGCCAATGAACTGGGCAATGAAGCCACTATCATGGGTGAAAGCGGCGAATTCAAGATGGTGATTGTCGTCCGGAACGACCTGAAGATGCAGAAGGGCAAAGTGGCAGCCCAGTGCTCCCATGCGGCTGTCTCAGCCTACAAACAAATCCAGCGCCGAAACCCTGAACTCCTGAAGCAGTGGGAGTATTGCGGACAGCCCAAGGTGGTCCTCAAAGCTCCTGACGAGGAAACGTTGCTTCAGCTCCTGGGCGAGGCCAAAACGCTGGGCCTGACAGTGAGCTTAATCCAAGATGCGGGCCGTACGCAGATAGCCCCGGGTTCCCGGACTGTCCTCGGCATCGGACCAGGACCAGTGGAGGTTGTGGACAAAGTCTCTGGCCATTTAAAACTTTACTGAATACGGAGCATCTAGCCCAGAGATAATGATATCAACTGTATAGATTTAAAGCAACCCCTTAAAAACAGTGATTATTGAGCAGGATCATGGTTTATTTTTCATTGCCTTTCAGTATTTGGAATACATAAAATGCAACAGGTTATCTGTCCACGCTCTACTTCTTTGTTGTCAGCTGGTTAAACATGATCCTTGAACTTACTGTCCTAGGAAATTGTTGATAGGAGGAAAAAATTAAGGGCATGTATAGTAAGTACGGGATGCGGGTGGCGCTGTGGGTAAAACCTCAGTGCCTAGGACTTGCCGATCGCATGGTCGGCGTTTCGAATCCCCGCGGCGGGGTGAGCTCCCATCGTTCGGTCCCAGCTCCTGCCCACCTAGCAGTTCTAAAGCACCCTTAAGTGCAAGTAGATAAATAGGTACCGCTTTATAGCGGGAAGGTAAACGGCGTTTCCGTGTGCTGCTCTGGTGCCGGTTCGCCGGAGCAGCTTCGTCACGCTGGCCACGTGACCCTGAAGTGTCTGCAGACAGCGCTGGCTCCCGGCCTCTAGAGTGAGATGAGCGCACAACCCTAGAGTCTGTCAAGACTGGCTCGTACGGGCAGGGGTACCTTTACCTTTTACCTTTATAGTAAGTACAGGGTGTAACCTGGTTCTCTGGGGCAGTCTTTGTGGGTTTATTTATTTTTAAAATAGAGAATTGGCTCTATGAAAATGGTCGGTCTGAAGGGACAGTTGTTAGGAATATGGACATTGTTCCTGGGATGAGGAACTTGTCACTCCTTACATTTTTCTGGACTCAGACTCCCATCCGCCTCAGCCAGCACAACCAGTGGTTTGGCATGATGGGAGTTGTAGCGTAGGAACCTCTGGTCAGCCACAGGTAGCCAGACCATCCTTGTTTTAAAGACTCAAATCTGTGGTGAGGAATGTAGAAGGTGGGCATCCTACAGAGTTCTTTAGTTGTCATTCACATATGCCTAAGTATGATCTGAAAAGAGTTCAAGGATATTCCAGCCAAGCAAAAACTTTTGGTGTGTGGCCTGGGGAGAGTTCCAAGGGCCAGATGGAGAGGCCTGAAGGGCCACATTTTTTGTTGCTGTCTAGCAGCGGATCAAGCCTTCATGACAAAACAAAATCCATCTGTTAGCTCAGTCTTCTATTTCAATGAAGCAGTAGCAGCACCTCTGCTGCTTGTAGCTGGACAAGATTTTTTAACTTGCCTTTTTTTTCACCCATTAGAACAGCCCTTTGAATTAGTAAAATGCAGGGAAGGGAAAACTGCAGGTTCTTAACCTTTGGGGGCTTAGCAGTGATTCTGTGTTAAGTGACTTGTGAGTGGATCTTTAGCAACAGAGCATGGAGAGCAACCAGAGCCATAGGCCAGGACTGTTGTTCCCCGACTGCTAAGGTAAAGGTAAAGGTACCCCTGCCCGTACGGGCCAGTCTTGACAGACTCTAGGGTTGTGCGCCCATCTCACTCAAGAGGCCGGGGGCCAGTGCTGTCCGGAGACACTTCCGGGTCACGTGGCCAGCGTGACAAGCTGCATCTGGCGAGCCAGAGCCGCACACGGTAACGCCGTTTACCTTCCCGCTGGTAAGCGGTCCCTATTTATCTACTTGCACCCGGGGGTGCTTTCGAACTGCTAGGTTGGCAGGCGCTGGGACCGAACAACGGGAGCGCACCCCGCCATGGGGATTCGAACCGCTGACCTTTCGATCGGCAAGCCCTAGGTGCTGAGGCTTTTACCCACAGCGCCACCCGCGTCCCTCCCCGACTGCTAGGAGGGCCCTAATTTCCCTGGAAGTAAACCAGAGGCACATTTCTACAGTCATTTCTACACTTGTCTTCATCTTCTCCTAGAAGAAATGAAGCACACTTCCTCCTCCACAGCTGTGGGCTCTTCGTATAGTAACAGAGCAAACCTTTGCATATTTTCATGGAAGAAACCTCAATGATGCCCAGCTGGACCTACCTCCAAATCCTGGGGACTGTTAATGATGCTGGGAATTGTAGCTCTGAGAGGGGTAAGCTACAGTTGCCAAGAGGCTTTGGAGGAAGCTGTGTACTTTAAATCCAAAGTGTGTACTCTGCCAGAGCAGTTGACTCAAACAACATGGTGGAATAAGTTTTCAAGGCCTGACTGATCCCATTGTGGCATGATTTGGTAACTGGCAGCCCTAAGGCAATGGTGGTGGGGGCTTTTCCAGCCTAGGGGGCCACATGCTTTCCCACAAGGGGATTTCAGCTTAGTTCTTTCTCTGACACCCAAGCAATCACTATCTGGTATACAATACAGTAAAAACCATCTTAACCTAAAACCAAAATTTATATATAAAAAATGCAGAGATCAAGCAGGAACACTCAAACATCTGGACAAACAGGCAGGTTTTCACTGGCTAATATAGTGTCAGCTGGAATTAATGGGAAACGGTGTTTCAGATATGGGGTGTCACTCTAGAAAAGGCCTTGTCAGACACATCTCTGCTAATCTATGCCCAGAAGAGGAACATTAAGAGTTAACACATAAAGCACATTAAGTCGCTGTACTTGCCTGGCTCATGTGCTCAAGCCAGAAAAGCAAGTTGCTTTTTGGCATGAAAGAGGATTTATTCAACCATGCAGGCAAAGAGCTGAATCAAGGGTGGAGTTAGCCTTTGAACTGGCAGTAGGGTAGGATGTAGCAGTGCAACTCCCCCACCCCCTGCAGTTAAATGTACAGCTGTTACTTGGGAAAATACTAATACTGCGACTATGAATCCAAAACTATCTGTATTATCTCCAGGGACACCCTAACGAGTTAATTAGCCACAAAGGCCAGGATAACTTTGCTATGATAGTTTCTTGCAAGTGACTCTGCCTCATTGTATTATTGGAAATCAATTAAAGTTCTCCTTTTTTAAAACAAACAAAACAAAACACCATCTCAGCAGTGCTGAGTACAAGATCAATGTGCTGGTGTAAGAATGCTGCACCAATTTCACGTACACTTAGCTCTGATTATCACTAACTGCAATGTTTGCGTTTTGTTGCTACTGAAGTTCCACCTTACAATTGCCCCCTTTTATAATACCTTCCAACTGAGATTTCACTTCATGCCTCTGCCAAAATGGGATTTAGTCCATGATGAAATTTGAGCCAAAATAAGTTTGTTAGCCTTTGATTTAAAAAGTACCCACAAAAGCCAAACTCTTAATTATTCCATCTTGCCACTTCCATTGGATGGCAGCAGCTCAAGGGTAGACAGTTTCACCATCAATCAGTTTGAAATCATGGAGTCACTACATGTCAGCATACTAGACAGTACTGCCATGTGTGTGTGTGTGTGTGTCACAGAACTCCCCCCCCCCCGTATATGTGTGTGTGTGTGTGTATAAAGTAGAGCCCTGGAAGGATGGAGAGGGTAGCTTCTAACCCTAACCCTTCTCCATTCCCAAATGAGAATAGTGTCTATACATTTTGCCTCATATCTCAAGTTCTACAAATGCTATAAACTTGCTTTTTTAAAGACATCCATAGCTAGAGGACATCCATAGCTAGAGGGCCAATGGTCTGACTCAGATTCAGAATTCAAGTCTTTTTATATGGACCCATGAGGACTAGAATCTTGCTTCGTTTCTAAGGGAAAGGCCGCAGGTCTGTGATATAGACTACCTGCATTTAAATGCCTCTAGGTTGCAGCCTTTCAGGTGCCCATGGGGGAATAAGCAGAGCAACTTCAAAAACATAGAGCTGTTCAGTTAGCAACTGCTGCTCCTTGAAATATCTATGCAAGAGCGCAAGTGATGCAACAGCATGTAAGTGGCATGTTGTGATTACTCCTTCGCAGCCTGTGATCAATGCCTGTTTATAAAAGGATGGAGAAACCTGAGCAGGTGCTGCCCTCTGGTGGACATTTCATCCAACAGCCCAAAACAAGTGTTTCTGTGTGTTGCAGAATTTTAATTTCATTCCTTGTTTAAAATTCCCCAGCATACTTTATTTGCAGAGCAGTCTGTAAGTTGCATAATTTTGTGCAACAGTTTTTAACACCTCTCTGATGTCAAATATATTTTCATAATTTTATGTCTGTTTTTAGTGCTATCTGATGCATATTTTATGTGGGTTGCTTAAAGCAGAGAAAGACAAAGATGGTAGATTCCTACCATCACTGGTCTAGCAGAGGTGGGGAACTTGTGGTTCACCAGATGTTGGATTCTCAACTCCCACTTTTTCTAACCATTGGTCACTCTAATTCGGGCTAATGGGACCTAGAGTCCAAAAACTGCTAGTCTTAATACTTAAATCAGCCAAGGCACACTCTTAAGCTTCAGGTGAGGCTCTGGGGGAAGCTCAGACACCACTCTTATGGCACAGTATGGAAGAAGTGTCTTATTTTAAGCATAAAATCTATTAAGGATATGATGGATTTGTATTGTTTATGGTGGAGTTCAAGGTGGTGGGCAATTGTTCTTTTGAGGGGACATTGCTGCTTTGTACATTTTAATATAGGAGACGCTCAGCAAAACATGCTTCCAAAAATTATGTGTGGTTCTATTCATACAGAACACAGAGACTGACTTAATCTTTGCTCGCTGGAGAACCTGAGAATTGCAGTGTGTGTGTTTTCAAAGGATTGTCTACTTCAGCCACTTCTTGGAGGGAAGCTGTATCAACATGACAACATCAACATGGTTGTTGTGTAGAACAGATGCCAGCTAGCAAATAATCTTAAGATAAATCTACTTTTGAGTAAAGCGGGGTGAGGAACTGGATCTGGCTGGTTGTATCTGCCTTAAGTTCTGCTGAGTAGAGCCATAGAAAGTAATGGAGGGAAGTTAACCATGCCTGTTAACTTTAATGGGTCTGAGAACTTAGTTGAAAACATACCTATGGCAAGGTGTTGTTTTTTAAGAGTAATCGAGGCACACTCAAGTGACCTTTACAACAAAAAGGCAGGCTTGCATCTCTGGTACAGACAGGAGTTTGGGTGGACTGATACTGGTTAAGATCACCAAAATGGATTTGTTGCAAGGGAAAATATGTAATACAGGCAGCTTATTTTTCATAGTCTGTTCTCGTAGCCGCTGCACTGAGAACCCTGTAGGCGTTTTGTAAGTGGCTATATCAGGCTTTATTTACTCTTGTCGCTTTTAAAATGGCAAAAGCCAG